CCGTAATAACTATTTTTCAATGTAGTCTAAAATAACGTTAAATACCGAAATAATCGGAAATTTATCTTAACAGTAGGCAAAATCTAAGTACATCGCGCGCGATAAAGCGGATCTTTCTACGGAAATCTCCGTACTCATTCCATAATAGACTCATTTTACAGTTTGTAGTCTCTATCATCACAATGCATCGTTCATTTTATCCTAAGATGCTTTTAGATGATGTAGGAAACGTTTTCAATGAAAATATTTTCCAATGTTTTTAAAGACGTTTCAATTTGTAGCATTTTCGACTAAACCCATGTCTTCAAACTCCAAAATTAGTCGAGATTTATTGTTGTTGGTTTATTATTGTACGAAATTAGAACAGTTTAAATATCGACAATTTGTCAAAGATTTGAAATTTAGTGTACGAATACTTTTTAGGGCCACCAACCGTAAATTTCATGCGAAGTAAAGTTACTTCGCCTATGTTAGATTTTAAATAAAAATTATAAATTCCTAGAAATAATCAATTGTTTTAAATGACTTTCATTCCCTTCATGCCTACCCAATACAATGGTTGAAACTATAAGGACATCATTCATTTATTGCAGAAAATTCATTTATTTCATAAATATACATATTATGTTATCGATCTGAGATAATGTTTTGAAAACCATTGTATCATTACAATCGTTTTAGAACTAGACTAAACGACTTGAATTTTTTTTAGATGATAGAGGGATTAGTTTACTAGACAATGACTAGAATGCCTTTTTTAATTTTGCTATTGCTTGGAGTGGCAAAATAAAATAAAGAACTTTCATTTTTTAACTTTTTTATTTGACAAATAACAAGAATTTAAAAAAAAATGCGTTTTGTAGAACTCAGTAACTTATGTACATACTGAAAATATCATCGAAATCGGTTGACCTTAACACGAGCTGTAAACAATTAAAAATCGCGAAAATCGTTTGTTCCGATTTTTGACACTTTCGATCTATAACTGTTAGAGATCTGCAGGTTAAGAAATTTTTCAACGCTTGTAGCTTGACTCTGGGTTAATCAATTTCCATCAACATCTACGAAAGGATCTTTTTGTATCTTGTTTTGTCATTTCAAGTAATAGCAAAATTGAAAAAAAAGTATTTTAGTCATTGTCTGGTAGACTAATCGTTTTATCATCTAAAAAGAATTCAAGTCGTTCAGTCCCGTTTTAAAAAGTGTCCGATAGCAGTAGTATTCGACAATTGTTAGATTTTTATTTATTTAGGATTCTTTTTATACTTTATATTAAGGAATTCTTGTCGTGTTTTAGTATATATATAAAATTTCTTATTAGCCTATGTGACCTTTTTGTATATATATATATAACCGATCTAATTTTATTTTTGTCTAAAGTGTAATCTTCAACTGATATAAAAGTGTTTACTGTGTACTTCTAAATGCAAATATTGTTATTAAACAATTGATGACATCTATTCTATTCTAACGCTTAAACTTACAAAATTTGAATTTTCTTGTTTCCGTACAATAGTTCAACCACGCTTTGTACAATAAGTATGAGAATGCACTAAGAGATAAATAGAATAAAACCGCGGAGACAATATCGCTAAAATTAGTTAATAGCATAAAAGCAGAATATTTTAAGTAATCACTAATAAGACCGCCAGTACGAAGTAAAAAATTCGCTAGGATGAATTTGAAAAAGAAAAAAAACTGTTCTCATCTTCATCGCGTCTCTGCGCGTCACATTATGTATAATATTTCGCTCGTAACAGAAACGAAACGAATGTTTCACTGTTGTGTGCATTAATCTGATGCTTTTATTATCCTTGAATGACTTCCATCGTTACGTTCTAAAAATAGTTGATATTTTGATGAAAACTGGTGTTGTTATTATGAAAATTTCGTCCACCGTATTTTCATGGGACGGATGGGATTATAGCGAAGGTTGTCGGATGGGTCGCGGTGTCATCGGCCCGTTGCTTTTGTTCGGAGAACGGCCAGGGGAACAACAAGGTTACACAGGCAAAATGGCAGTCGTCGAACGGGGCCCGGCCGCGACTCGATTATAAGCCTTCGGCCCTCTTGAAAATTACAGGAACGCGAACGGCAACTGGTGGCGACACGGGGGAAGACCGAACGCGGCGGTTCGTCGGCTTTCGAGGTTCATCCGAGTTTCGAAAGAGTGTCCACCCGGTCGTGGTGTCCGCATCCATCGCGTGGAAACGCGCATCTTCCTCCTCGTTCGCGGGTCCCCGTCAATCTGGTTTTAGGCGTACTCCGTAGCGGCGGGTCTGGTGATCGACGGTGAACGCGATTCCACGGGCGACTCGTAGATCACGCGCTAGCCGGCGTTGAAATCACCTGAACGGACAACAGGCCGATTCCGTTGGACGGCTGTGTAACGGAATCTGTTGGATATTTCTTCAGCGAGTGGAAAAGAGGAACCATCGGGTCACCATCGGGGGACCTTCCGCCGGAGAACGAATTTACCGTGACCCGTTCGAAAGGGAACCAGGGTCGGTACACCTTGCCCAGGGGAAGAGAAATGGTGCGAAAGAGATCCAGCCAGTGACGTAACCGCGCGGGCATGATAATAGATACGGACGTTAGCCGGCTGCGTTCACGATCAGATAAGAGGATCGAAATTCTGCTCGGCGTATTCGGGGACCCGTGTCGGAAGCGGCGCTCGATAAAACGGCTAGTTGGCGGACGGCTCTGCGTGTGAAATCCCAGTGGCAACGATGAAAATGGAGGTAAGTGCGTGCACGCGAAATCACGGATGAGCGACGGAGAAGAATCCCGTTCAACGGGTGTTTGATTTACTGTCGTTACCGGCTGGCGATCCAACGATCCGACGATTCGCATTCGATCCGACGAGAGCCGAGTACATTTCGACCGTGTAACACACACCTGCCGGCTCTGTCAATATTTATCCGTGGCCGCTGTAAATTACCGTGCCGGCGCTTCAAGACGATCGGCGGATGCGTCAACGGGATTTCTAATTCACTGTGGATTAGCCGATTATATCGTACCGATCCCATCTAATTATCCTGCGCCGTGAATAATCGGTTGCGAAAACACTCTTGAAAAAGATGTCACGGTTCTTCGCGCGATGCTCGTCGGAATTGCTCGATCTCTAATTGCCCGCCGCGGCCGCACGCCGGTGGATCGCCGAAATCAGATGTAACACGGGTCCGAGGAGCGTATTTGCGCGGTGATCCCGAAAAACTGGTCGGACAGCTATTTAAATCGCACGCGATCCTTTTCATTTTATTGGGAACACCGATCTTGCCCTTGGCTGTTCTTCGGGGAAAATTAAATTTTTGTTTTGGAGTGATCGATATGCGATATTATTCGCCTTTATCGCGATCAGTCTTTCGCGTTATGATTTCTTTCATAAATTACTAGTAGCACTTCTTTGGCGTTGATTACAAGAAAGAAAAGAAATTTATATATATATATGTATATGGTGTGTCTGTATTAATCGTGATTGTCAAACATCGACGAGAGATAAATCGTAAGTGAAGCGATCGACATCCATATTTAGTTGAGTATGTTCGTTTTTTCTTTTTCTTTTTTTTTTTTGATAGAAATGGATGAATGAAAAACAAGATTGTGAAAAGATTAAAAAGATTAAATAATATTGCTACATCGTTTCCGACCAATTATTCCGCAGTCTAATCGTAAGGGGCTCGTAGAAGTGACAAAGGATTATTTCCTTTTCGATGCCTTTTCTAAATCGTTTCCAAAATTTTAAACAAGCCTAATGATCGATTATGAACTTTCACATTTTGCTTGTGTAGCATGGCATCGTTTAACATGACGGTTGAACGCAATTAGTAACGTAAGAATTGTGTTTTGACACCTATCTGTGTATATGTATGTAGATTAGATATTGCAGAGTATTATAGGGTACATGTATACGTGTACTCTAGATTAAACGCTGTTCGCACATGCTAACGCGACGGTCGCCGCTTTAAATATAGAATTTCAATTTTATCAGGAGGAATGGAGAAACAATAAAAATCTTTTCTTCTGTTGGAATTAATTTTTAGGAATCAACAAAATCATACGAAACACGGAATCTTTACGTGAAATCTGAGGAAGACAATCCCGTAACTTGTTACAAGGGATTATTTCCAACTAGTCGTTTTAACCGAATGATAGCGTTATAAAGCGTTAATTGTATCGGCTGAGCTTCGACATGTGGACAAACGTAATCCGAATGCAAACTTGTGGCTAGCTGAGCAGCAGCCGTGCTCGTACGCGTTCATAATGGAACCGGTATCACAGATTTTTGAAAGGATATACACTACCTCTCAAAAGTATTTGATCAATGGTTCGATGATCGCCGAACTCGGCTTTTCCAGCGAAATAATATGCAACCGAGAAGGCTCCTGCAACAAGGTGATAGCTTCGCTTTCGGATAATTTGTATGAATCATACGAGTGGAATTTCAATCATGCTATAAATTCATGATCAACTAATGTTCGCGTTGGGAAACTTTTACAGCGAATATAATGTTCCAATAAATACAATTTAAATATTAGGGCTTGCTTGATTTTAGATTAAATAGACGAGAATAATAAATATTCGTTAAAGTGATTCGAAAAGTGAGAATATACTTGACATCGAGCATTGCTATAATGCATAACATATTCAGTATTATTATATTGAATATGTTATGCATTATATATATAAACATATTTGTTTATATCGTGAAGTCGCATTCAAATAAATTCACACGCGTTGCGTCTCTGTACAGTGTTATCTGTTGCAAAACCTTCGTACCGATTACTCACATTTTCCGTAAATTAGATAGACTGTACGTATACAATTGAAAAATGTATGAAAAGTTACAGATCCTTTCGGTGTACAAAAAACAAACAAAAGTATTGATACTGCACATTGAAAGAAAACGGATTAAGCAACGCTATCAAATCATTGAAACGTTTTTTGAATAATACTGCACCACGGACTACAGTAATGTCTCTCTAATTGACGCTCAAATTGACCACAAAAATGGACAATTTGGGAAGAGGAGATACGATTATTCGAGTCTTGCGGTTCGTTTTTATAGTTACGAATTGTCAACAACAATAAAAACGAGTTGCAAGGCTCGAATAATCGTATCTCCTCTTCCCAAATTGTCCACTTTTGTGCGCAATCTGAGCGTCAGTTAGGGAGACATTACTATATATAGTCCGTGATATAAACTGAGATATTGGTTCCGCGATGTTCCCCTGAATTGTCCAGATTTGAGAATTTATTAAATTCCAGTCACGCGATTATAACACCTCCCGAGGCATTATAGCGCGCGCAAACGTTGCGTTTTCTTGGTTGGGTTCGATGCTGTTTAAACTTAATTACGTACACGGTATGTGGGTCGTCGCGTTGCCTTTGGAATTGTTATTGTAGTTTCTTTTCAGAAACTGCTCGACAGCTGTTTCGATACCGACTACAACTAAGCGACAACAGCTGTTACGTTTTCTAGCTGACGACACGATGACGATCGTGCTATGTAGCAGGTTTGCTAAGAAAATATTTTATGTGCTTTCACACGGATCGACTCGTTGACCCTGGATCGTTTTAACCAATTTGACCCGAAAGCAAGTCGCGTCTTTTGTTAGAAAGTACGTATTTGATCGAAAATAAATATTTTTCTAGATTTATTCGTTACTTCGTTAACACGTTGCATAGGTTTTATATAAAATTGTCAGAAATATAAACGATGATTAATTCGAACCCGGATGACGATGTGCATCCTTTGTATTTGCTTGTTATCATATTACATATTAGCGGACTGTTGAACCTAGTACGGTTTACAAAATCTTTGCTTAATGTTCGCGAACGATTGCTTAAACGATTCAAAAATTTACCAAAATTGACCCACTCTGGTACATACAGTAATGTTTCTCTTACTGACGCTCAGATCGTCTACTAAAATGGATAATTTGGGAAGGGGAGATTCTTATATTTTTATAATTGTGGACAATTTATAACTATAACAATAAACCGCAAGGCTCGAATAATCGTACCTCCTTTTCCCAAATTGTCCATTTCTGTGGTCAATCTGGGCGTCAATTAGAGAGACGTTACTGTATTTCAACGCTCCATTTTTCGTCTGTAAGCAGCCAAGCGTATCTTTCGTACTGGAAACTTTTCACCTGGACACAACCTGGATCTGCCTATTCTATCATTCACTCTCCGAAACCCTGAACCACTCTCCCTCTCTATCCGTACACCCCATTTATCGAACGATCAATGTCATATCGTACGTAGTACGTTTTCCCGTCAGCGGGCACGTGCGCACTCGAAAATGTCCTCGGAATCTCTAGCGGTATAAACGAATGGACCGCGAACTGCCTTCTAAAACGTCCAATAACACGATCCATTAATGTTCGCCTAATCGAGCACGCGATCAGAGCCGGCTGCCGGCAATTTTCGCTAGAACGGGAATCGAAGGACATTCGCCGCGCGAGGTCGAAACTCCCCGGACCAAAACTCTCCGCGACCTCGAAATCGCGACGATTATATCTTTCGTCGAAATCGAGTAGTATCATCGAGGTGGAATTTTAAGTCGGTCATCGTCGCCTCGCGGTTGGAAACCAGGGGGTTCACGAAAGAAAGGTGAGGCAGGAAGATCCGTGGCCCATTTTTTTTAGAAAGGAAACAGGCACGGGTTACAGTTAAGCAGCCGGTGCTAGACGGTTGCTCAGTTTTCAATGAGCAGCATTCCGGACTGTCAGACGACCGCAGCTTCGCTGGCCGGAGAAACCCTTCGAGGACTGGTTCCAATAATATTCGGTTCCTACGCGGAAGTGCGGACGAGACACCTGACTGAACCAGCCCCCTTCTGTCAGCTGCGGAACAGCCAGGTTTCTATTCCTCCTTCAAACAATATGTATTCCAAGAATACGCGGCCTCGCGAGTGTGCTGTCGGATAGATCTCTCGCAAAGAGCGAGAGATCCGTCTCGGCGATCCGACCGATCCTTGAATTTCGATCGGATCGATCAAGGTTCGATTAGATAAAGCCACGGACTTCTGTTTTGTCGATTTATTTTCGTGACGGTTAGGCGCATCTCGTCTCAGTACATATTTTGAGAGCATTTCAAGATCCGACCGATCCTTCGATTTCGATCGTATCGATCGCGTTTCGGTTGCACTCGGCTAGGTGACCACGAAGTTCCGTCGAAGGTCGACCATCGTTTCAACGATGCGCGAGTGCATCTGGACCTAACATCATCTGACTATGGGTATGTTCTTGTTGATTAACATAAACAGCATGCCGTGTAATTAGTTCCAACAAGGAGGTCGACGAATCTGTACGAACTACCGTTAAAGATTTTTCAGAAGATCGCAAAGTAACTGGATGGATCGAAGTTGTATCGATAAAAAAGTGCCCGTTTTCCGAGTGCCAAATATCTTTACTTCGCTGTGTTTCACTTGAAAATGGACATTTCTTCCGATGTCATTGTATTTGTACATGCGCCGGACCGGTAATAGAAATGAAAAAATAGTGAATCTACAGTACAGATGTATATATCTGTGATGTATCTATCTATCAGTATCTATCTAAGTACAGATGAGAATTTAAAGTAACAGTTTCTCCAGCGCGTTCTCGGCAAAGAAATGGAGTTTGTCTTGAACATCTGTCTAATTAACAAGAGACGCAAAGAAGAACGGTTGTTAAAATTTCCTTAACTTGTAATCATCGTAAATGCAGTCTTGTAATTGGCTGAAGAAAAAGACAGAATTTTGTTAGTGCGAATGATGAAAAACGAAGACAAGTTTATATCATAGTTTGTTTTAGTTATCGTTTTGCAATAGCTTAGCCAGGAAACGACGGGGAAAAGAGTTTTCACAAGAATTGCATAAAGTATTGACTCATTCTTTGGATGATCTATCGATGAATCATTGTGTCACCGATAAAAACATCAATGAAGTAACGCATTGTGCCCCGCGGAGTTTATTAATTAGCGAATAATGTTAACTGCTATCTAAAAATCATTCGAAAGACGGATCGACAACAAAATTGCCCTTGGCCCCTATCCTATCTATGGAACACGATCTAAACTGGCATAGTGTTTCCATTTAAACGGTGTCGAAATGAAAATCGATCGCGATGCGTTATCGTTACATGCACCTATCAGCGGCGCGGGTTTAAACTTAAGGAAGTTTATCGGCCACGGTATCGAGCGATAGCAATTGATTGGAAACGAGAGACGATTGGAGATAAATAGACCGGTTGCGCGTGGTAATACAGTTTCGTGTGAAGCCGTTCACATCGTTGCATAACGTGCTAATAACGATCTAACACGGGGTTGGTCGATTAAAATATGATTTTTTATCGAAACAAAATTTTAGAAGTATGGACGGTGATAAGGGGAAGCGAGTTTATGTTATCGTAATAGCTGTTCTAATTTGCAAGAGAAGTGTAGTTTCTACTGTCTCGGGAGTGAAGGAAAAATGAAAGGACGCGAAGGACACGAGTCCTTGGCATAAGTCGTAGCATGCATGAAGGAAATTTTTACTTCATATTTTTACTTTGTTTCGATATATTGGATAACGTAAACGTTTCCATTATTTTCTTCGCGTGTGCGAGTCCGACAATTTACGATATCAGGTAGAACATTTCAGAAAAATCGTACACCACGGCTCTGTATCGTCGCAACTGGCAACGATCAAAGAATTTTTCACGACACATTCGTCCCAAGTTTCGATTACGTTGCAACTAATTCGGTCAGTTAACAGACCATTATGCTCAATATTGGTTGCACGATCTGTTCTTCATCGATGGCGAACAATTCTGCAAAGTTTTATTTTTTCATTAGCATACCGCATAACCCAACATGTGGTCAACGCACATTTCCTCGACTTCGAGCTCTCTAAATCAGACCGTCTAATTTATATTTCCGTCATTATCTAAACTCCAGTGGTCATCGGTTTTATGAACGCGAAGCTAATAAACGAAAGCCGGCCATCATCAAAGCCACTCTTCGAGATCGACTTATCTAAATAGCGAGCTTAATTGAGCACTGCTACGCGAATGGAAACCCAATTAACCTTGTAAATTAACTGTAAAATTTCTTATGGATCACTACGATGAGCCTAGAACGGGTTAATAGTATGGCGGTCGCGTACAGCCAGCTTTCTGGAATTTGTTTCCCGTTAGAGGGACGATGGATGCTGGTCACCATTGAATTTCATTTATTCGGCGGCCCATATTTTGTTTCTCGTTTCATTTTCGCGGGCAGCATGCCGAAAAAGCGAGCCGAGGTATCGCAACGAGGGAGTTCGTAGACCGCGACTGCACACAGAAAACCGGTGTTTAGGTTGGTCGCACGGTTCACGTTGATGTTAGAATTGAGGTTCAGGGGTCGGGTTGCACCATCATTAATTCAACATTCTAAAACAGTGGCTTCTCTAATTACGCGGGGCTGCGCGATTGTGAGCATCCGACTCGTAGCAGGATTGGGAAACGGCCCTCGGATGGAAAAACGGGAAAACTTGGTTCATTCATCCATCAAACGATCTTCCATCCTGGTTTGATCCTCGTTCGAGTCTGTCCGAAGACAACCAAATCGATTACAATTCCCGGATCCACGTTTTTATGTCGTTCACATTAGGATACATTTGAAATAATCCTCTGATTAGGTTCGACATTTTTTTCATAGGACAACACACGTGTACCAAATCGATGCCTAGATGACATTTTTCAAAATTATTATCGATTGTTTTTGCTGTTCGATTGCTTTCGTGTAAAATCATAGAGACACGTACGCACTTCCAGCAACACATTTGCAAAGCTGTTGCAATCATCCTTGATACCGTTGGCAGTTCTTGTTTTGGTTCGGCTTTCCAACATCAAGGAGCGACGGTAATTCTTAGCCACGTAATTGTTGTTTTCTTTCTAGAGCCTACCGGGAGCTACCGTATCCCGTGCGACCTATGATTATGTAGTTAGAAAACTGTCGCCCCGATAATCATAATCATCAAAACATGACAAGAGACCCGATGTCCTAAAGTGACACACAGGGTCGTTTCCTGCAGCCTTATAATCGCTCGCAGTATTACGTTGCCGTACGGGAAAGTTATTTTTAAACGAATGTAGCACAAGCTTGTTAAACTTACAACGCGTGGAACGGGTCAACAGTTGCTAATCCATTCCGACTGTATACCTTCTGGATGTTCGCAAAAAGCTGAACGCGAAAATCCTGGAATGACTCATCTTGAAGCGACTGAAATGAAACTCATCTGGAAATTCGAATGTGCAAATTGACTCTCTGCAGAGTTTGCACTCCGGCGTTTGTTCGCTAACGGTCCTTACATGCGGTAGCGAAATAACTTCATTAACATCGGGACAAACGAGTTCACTCGATGACGTGCGAACAATTTGTTGAAAGTATCGTAATTAGTCGCGGTATGACAGAAAAGATAACAGATCGCGTTCTCCAACTTCTTTATCTAATTCCACATTAGAAATTGAAATGCATTGTTGTTATGAAAAAAAAAAAAATGGTGAAAACCGCAGTTTCTTACGATTTTCGATCAATAATTGTACTAAATGAAAAAACTGAAATATTTCAACGACTGTAGCTTGTTTCTGCGTCATCGATTTTGTTTAAAGTTTTCGCATACGTATGTACAATTGCATTTTTTGATAGATATTCCGATCGGAAAATTGAAAAACGTTATTTTATCATCGTTTCCATCGTTCCGATCAAAATTTCTAAGTTCAATTCTTCAAAAATTATTCCGTCTTAGAGTGCGCTCAAACACTGTCGTGAGCGACTATACATACAACTGATATTAACCCTTTTAGTGCCGGAGGCCGATATATCGGCCCTCGATGCACTGGCGAAAAGTGCCAGAGCCGATATATCGGCCGGCACCTTGTAGCGTTATAAATAAATAAATACGTTATAAATATACGTTATAATTTCATTACGAGAGAAAAATTAGCGTCACTGTTTTATTCTAAATTTTGTCCTTAATACACTGTTTTTTGAATTATGTAAATATTGCTTTTCGTTTGGTTTTTATGAACCTTTTTCTAAATCCTAGTAAAATCGTAAAATTCGGCCGGTTATATTCGCATAAGCACCTCTTTTTCGCCCGGCACTAAAAGGGTTAACAACAAGTAACTGACATTGAATTAAAAGGAACTTCTAACTACGAAGACAAGACGAAATTCTGGCTGCGGACGCGTTAACTTTCATACTGTAAAACATGATAATTTGATAACGACACGGTGAATATGTTGCCGGATCCTTCGAATAGTTGAGATCGTCCCCTATCATTTCGGTAACAATCGACTAAGCCGTTAACATGATACAATTTCGTTGCACACGCAGGCGGATCACAGGTTGGAGCAGCTGAAGAAGGCAACGGACAGAATACAGAAGGAGATCGAAGAGGTCACGGAGAGGGAGCACGAGCTACGAAACGTGGGCAGCATTAAGACCACGTCCCACGAGACGGTAGATTCCAAGGTACGCTTGAACCAAGAGACGTACGTGCAGGTAAACATGTATATGTTCCATGGCTCGGTCGTGCTCAAGGTCGTTGAACGAAAGAAAGAAAGAGTAAACCAGCCGACGTAGTCCTTATAGGGACGAAATGCATCGACAGCCTATCTACATGTCCATGAGTGACGCGACGATTATACGCGCGGTCGTTGATTTACTGATTTTCGACTTGAGCGCGCGCGCGCGCACACACACACAATACTACGCATCACCTTGATTTTATTAACTACGCGACATAAATTCGTGGACAAAAAATTGGATTCGTCGCGGCGAAATTTCTTTTCTCTGATATTTTAATCTTTATACACGCCAGTATGCCCTACGCGAGACGCGTTGGTCGTTTTTTTTCAGCTAGATGGACGTTGATTAAAGGAAAACGATGGCCATACGTTTCGTTGAATTATGCGTGAATTTCCCAGGCTACGACGGATAATACGTTTTGTCTCGCTTGATCTGCCGTTTTAAGGGACCATCGTTTAAGGGATAATCGGAATGTACATGTGGAACGAAAGTTCTTGAGAAGAATTCAAACGAGCGACCATTCTTTATTGCAACTCTATAACAATAGATTAACCGTTAAATTGAATTTGTCCATGTAACAAGCTCGATATGAAGAATTTTGGCGAATCGTAAATTAAATACAGTTTATCCGTGAAATATTCAACCGTGTCGCCGACTCGTTAGAATAAAAAATAGTAGATTGTTTCATGCTGTTTCTGCTCGGCTAATAACGCGGTTTTTGTTTTCTACTGTCACGGGGATGGGTTTATCGATGCAAAAGCCTACTTTACGTTCGCGTTCGACGCATTTAAACAGAACGGAACTAACGAGTATCATGGGACAAGCGTGAAGTTACGTATCCACTAAAGGAACAAAGAGATACTTTCTAATAGATGTTGACTGTTCTCGTAAAATCTTCTCCACGTTTCTTCTGCTCTTGTATCGTGAATGCGGATAAAAACATAATGCTGGTGCACGCGTTGTTTCTATGAATGAGCGGTGGTTTGAAAAAGCGACGGGGAAAGAAATGTAACGTTCGAGCGCGCGGTAATTGTTGAACGAGTGCAACGAATAAATAGGCATGTTAAAAAGCTGAACGAAACGAAGCTGTTCTCATCGGGGTGTTCTTTGGCATTAATAGATAGCAACCTCCCTGCAAGCTGCGCTAGATCCTTGATATCATTTCGGCGGATACACCTTTTCACGTCAATCAGTTTTATCATCGCGGTCTCCAGAAAACAAGAGAACGTAAAAGTATCGCGATGCGGATAATCATTGCGACACGATCGCATGTTACACTTTTACGCCGTTTTATTAGCCCGGACGCGCGAAGTAATTATTACACCGCGAACATGCGAATTCGTTTCTCGAACTGGCATGTTCCGCATGCTTTTAGCAACACGGTTGTATTTCAATGAGAATATCTTATCTGTTGATACATTTAAGCAAACACGCCGTTTTTCACGAAACTGCCGTCTTTGCCCATGACGCGACTATTGTCACTGATAATGAGAGTTTTTAAATGTAGCCCTCGCAGTCCTATGTCCACTGGACGATAACATACAGTTCAAAAGACTTTGGGCGACCGATAACTTTTGTCCAGTTTGTCCTGAACCGTTCATTGAAACACTGAAACCATTGTGTGCGCTAAAAGTAATTCCTTTGTATTTACAATATCTATAACCTTGTCCTTCAAAATATTTCTCATTAATATTATATCTATTATTATAACAGTCATTGGTATTCCGAATTTAAGAATTCCTTCGGTTTGCAGTAGCTCGGAAAAATATTTGAGTTCGGCGAAATTACGTTGCGTCTCGAAGTGAATGTTAACTTTCAGTCTGACGGAGCTGTTTGTGTGCGATAGGTACGGCGAATGCCTCAAGCTCTGGCTTCCGGTAAGCTGAAGAGGACGACATCGAACCCGCAAATCCTGGAGGCAGTCAACTTGACGCAATCGACGCCATCCTTCACGCCAAAGATGACAAACGGAGTGATATCCAGTCGTACCACGCCGACACCACTGCGGTTTGCCACTGCACCCAGCCAAAAAGGGTTGATGCACAGGTTTCTCGCCACCCGAGGGAAGATTTACAAATCGAAAACATCTGTGAACGACTCGTTGACAACGCCTGCAACACCAACGATCGCGCTGAATCCGATGAGCATCAAAGCGTTCAACAGAAGCTTGAGTATTCAACTGGAACCGGATGACGAACCCAAGAAACCTCCTGTTAGAAAAGGATACGTTCCAGTGGAAGAGAAAATTCAAAAGGAATTGCATGAAATGAAAGAACGGGAGAACGAACTCAGGTGTGAATTTTACTGGTCGATTTATGGTAGATGTGTGCTTCCAGGTTTCAAGTGCCGATGCACTGGATTTTAAATATTTTCAGAAGCGGTCTAAAAGAATGATTAATTTAGAAACGGTTTGAATAGCATCTGAATCTTGGACTGCTAAATGCATTATCTCACTGTATTGTTGGCTCCAATATTAAAGTAACGCGCATTGCCTGATATTCCGAGTATTTTGAATACTTTATTACACTTATTGTTGGTAGAATATTCTAATTAGAAAAGTTGCTACCGCAACAAGAGCGTTGATAGCGACATGTTAACGATTTTATTACAAAATGTTACTTATAGTAACTTTTCATCTTATCTCTTATCGTCTATAAGCACAAAATGTTAATTATTCATGACAGCACTTTTAATATTTCGGTCAAAAATTCACCGAATATTAAGGTCGCATTAATACTATTTATAGTTTGTGAATACGTGTGTGTTCAAGTTCGTATTACCGATATTTGCAAGTTAATTTTATTCCACATTTGCGAAACTGAATCTAATGTCCTTGAGATAAATTGTTATACTGTAAGCCATAAACGAGCGTGACTAGGCAATAAGATCTGAGCCTTTGCATTTTCAGATTAATGCGATCGCAAATGCTGGCGAAATCTCAGCCGAATCTGTTAGACATCGGAAATGACAATGATTCTGACATTTACGATGGTTCGAGTTCGTTGAGAAGCGGTGCCTCATCGACCACTTTGAACGAAGACGACGTAGAAAAGGAAAGCAAAGGAAAACACAAGGTAGAAACTTTTTACCGGGATAAATACGTTTAACACGAGAAAAAAAATTTCGTCATCGTGTTTATAACTGACCCTATCTAATCTATCAGATTATCGACAGACACATTAATCAAAGATCGATATTTTATGCAATTATGTTGCATTTCAATAACTAATAAATATGTAATTATATAGAGTCAGTCTCTCCGCTTAATCAGAGTCACTAATTTTCAAATTATAAAAATTTTAGTCAATTTCGCGTTATCTTACTGATAACGTTTCATGGACATATTTGCGTTGCAAATGGAATATATATTCCATTAACAAAGATCACGTCAAGGGAATGTTTAACTTATCCTGATATCATGAAACTGGATTGAAAAGGAAAACAAACAAAAAATAATAGAAACATTTAATTTTCCATTGTTATAATCTTTATATAGATATAAATATACTTTTACTAATTTAATATGCACGTTTAATTATTCGCAGCCAAATCCACGACGTCGGAGCACCCTTATAGCGCAATGGGAGAATCTGATAGCTGCGAAACGGCAAACTAATGATAATGGTAATGAAAATGATTTAAACTTCTAAATAATTTCCACGTATAGTGGAAAAATGTGACTCCATCCTCGCTTCTATTCTGTTCCATGGTTCAAGTTATTTTTGGAATAGCTGAGACAAATGGAAAAAACATTGAAAAATGTGCTACTACAAGCTTTTCATTCTTAAAACCCATATTTCCTTGATGGTAATGCATATCATCGATTCCATTAATATTCTTAATTTGCAAAATAATTTATTTAAGATTATTATGAATATTTATTCAATAATGGAAGAATTACCTGATTCATTGTATGTTATATTTAATATTTTCTTTAAAAAGCTTTCAGTATTAAAAAATTATCAACAACAAAACATTAATATACATATCCATACATAAGCGAAAATGTTGCTCTTAAGTATTACAAGCATATATTTGATATATCAGCTTGTTAACTGTAATATATCTCTCATTATATTATATGCATACAATGCATACGCATAAAAGCGACTGACAAATTTCATTGGTCCCATTTTAACATGTGGAATGTATTAAGTCTGTCTCTTATACACATCTACGCATAAAAGCGACTGACAAATTTCATTGGTCCCATTTTAACATGTGGAATGTATTAAGTCTGTCTCTTATACACATCTACGCATAAAAGCGACTGACAAATTTCATTGGTCCCATTTTAACATGTGGAATGTATTAAGTCTGTCTCTTATACACATCTACGCATAAAAGCGACTGACAAATTTCATTGGTCCCATTTTAACATGTGGAATGTATTAAGTCTGTCTCTTATACACATCTACGCATAAAAGCGACTGACAAATTTCATTGGTCCCATTTTAACATGTGGAATGTATTAAGTCTGTCTCTTATACACATCTACGCATAAAAGCGACTGACAAATTTCATTGGTCCCATTTTAACATGTGGAATGTATTAAGTCTGTCTCTTATACACATCTACGCATAAAAGCGACTGACAAATTTCATTGGTCCCATTTTAACATGTGGAATGTATTAAGTCTGTCTCTTATACACATCTACGCATAAAAGCGACTGACAAATTTCATTGGTCCCATTTTAACATGTGGAATGTATTAAGTCTGTCTCTTATACACATCTACGCATAAAAGCGACTGACAAATTTCATTGGTCCCATTTTAACATGTGGAATGTATTAAGTCTGTCTCTTATACACATCTACGCATAAAAGCGACTGACAAATTTCATTGGTCCCATTTTAACATGTGGAATGTATTAAGTCTGTCTCTTATACACATCTACGCATAAAAGCGACTGACAAATTTCATTGGTCCCATTTTAACATGTGGAATGTATTAAGTCTGTCTCTTATACACATCTACGCATAAAAGCGACTGACAAATTTCATTGGTCCCATTTTAACATGTGGAATGTATTAAGTCTGTCTCTTATACACATCTACGCATAAAAGCGACTGACAAATTTCATTGGTCCCATTTTAACATGTGGAATGTATTAAGTCTGTCTCTTATACACATCTACGCATAAAAGCGACTGACAAATTTCATTGGTCCCATTTTAACATGTGGAATGTATTAAGTCTGTCTCTTATACACATCTACGCATAAAAGCGACTGACAAATTTCATTGGTCCCATTTTAACATGTGGAATGTATTAAGTCTGTCTCTTATACACATCTACGCATAAAAGCGACTGACAAATTTCATTGGTCCCATTTTAACATGTGGAATGTATTAAGTCTGTCTCTTATACACATCTACGCATAAAAGCGACTGACAAATTTCATTGGTCCCATTTTAACATGTGGAATGTATTAAGTCTGTCTCTTATACACATCTACGCATAAAAGCGACTGACAAATTTCATTGGTCCCATTTTAACATGTGGAATGTATTAAGTCTGTCTCTTATACACATCTACGCATAAAAGCGACTGACAAATTTCATTGGTCCCATTTTAACATGTGGAATGTATTAAGTCTGTCTCTTATACACATCTACGCATAAAAGCGACTGACAAATTTCATTGGTCCCATTTTAACATGTGGAATGTATTAAGTCTGTCTCTTATACACATCTACGCATAAAAGCGACTGACAAATTTCATTGGTCCCATTTTAACATGTGGAATGTATTAAGTCTGTCTCTTATACACATCTACGCATAAAAGCGACTGACAAATTTCATTGGTCCCATTTTAACATGTGGAATGTATTAAGTCTGTCTCTTATACACATCTACGCATAAAAGCGACTGACAAATTTCATTGGTCCCATTTTAACATGTGGAATGTATTAAGTCTGTCTCTTATACACATCTACGCATAAAAGCGACTGACAAATTTCATTGGTCCCATTTTAACATGTGGAATGTATTAAGTCTGTCTCTTATACACATCTACGCATAAAAGCGACTGACAAATTTCATTGGTCCCATTTTAACATGTGGAATGTATTAAGTCTGTCTCTTATACACATCTACGCATAAAAGCGACTGACAAATTTCATTGGTCCCATTTTAACATGTGGAATGTATTAAGTCTGTCTCTTATACACATCTAGATGTGTATAAGAGACAGAATTAAGTACATAACATATTCATATATATAGTACACTGTATATGTATACATGTGCGTATGTAAGTAGTACATAAATAGTGCTTCTCACTAAATTCAACAAATGTGCATGTAGTGTATGCACTACTACATCATATATCACAACATATACACACCGACATTTTGCATGCGTTTCTAGTGACACTTATTACTAATGGATAATTTAGATAAAACAACAATGACACCAGAGGATATTGAAATTCTATTACTAAAAAATTTTATTTCTAACGAAGGTAAATAGATAATTTTAAATTATACAAATATGCTCATTTAAAATGTGAGGTTATATTGTATTATTTGAAAAGTTAAGTCTTTTTCTATTAAAAATTTCTTTTCAGATTACGAATTACCAGTAAATGTAAAAAATATATTAAACGGACGATACAAAGATGTAATGCACAATGAATTGTTATCAACTTTTATAAAATCATGCAATGACAATGAACTTCATAAACTAGTACATAAGGGCATAGAAAAAGAAATAGTTACATATAATTCTTGGTTTTGTGTGGGTGTATCTTCTCTGTTATATTTTATCCAATGTAATTGGACAGGACCACAAATCGATGAAGATGTTGAATGGCTAAAAAGTCAAGAAGATGATGCTCTTAGACATCTAGCCTTACACGATGAATGTAACTCAAATGTAAAAAAGCCGGAGCATCTTTATTTTTCCAAGATTATATTTTCCAATGAAATCATAGAAAAATCTTATAAAAGCTCTATCTGGTGGTTATTTAGAGCCAATCTCTTGCATCAATATATTCTAAATGAAAGTTCTGGTGTAATATTTAATGAGACAGAACAGTTATTTGATAGAATCAATAAATTATCTTTATTAGAGGATCAGTACTGCAAAACATTATTTTATATAGAAGTTGCACAATTTTATTTTTATTATAGACGGGTAGAAAATTCCAAAAAGTATGTTCAATCTGCACATGCAGCAGCACAGTTACATTTAAATCTAGAAGGTGCTTTAGGTAAACGCACAAAATATCAACAGGAAGAGAAACCTCAACTATACTTGAAAGTTGATGCAGTTCAAAGCCAATTTCCCTTCAGATGTTGTGAAAATGTACCAAAATCGCTTGACTTAAATGACGATGTTCGATTAGAACATATTGAGTATTCAAAAAGTATGGAACACATTGAAATTGGAGGAATGGAAGAAGCCATCATATTATCAAATCTGTAAGATTATATTTGTGTATTTCATCAGATCATGGTGTAAATATAATATATATTTTGTAAATTTTATTTTGAATAGTGTTCAAATGCAATTATCACAACCGAAGGATAAGTTAACAGATGAAGAAATTAAACCTTATTTAATAGTAGGTACTTTTCGTATACATGCTAATAATCTTGGATTATGAATATCTAAAATCACTTATTTGGCAGGTTGTAATCGATAGTACAAAAAATTGGTCCTTAAAAGTGATGTCTCTCTATCATCGCTGTACATTAGAATTGGCTGATAAAAGAGCCGTCGAACGATCCATGTTGCAATTAGAATATTTAATACAAGAAATAAAAAGCTCAGAAGTTCCTGTTGCATACAGAATAGATATGTTCTTTGCAAGTGGTCTCAAACCTATCTGGGTTTTAGAACAAACATGGGCACATGTTATGATTAGTCTCGGATTGATAAAAGCAGCTTTAGATGTTTTCTTAAAGCTTGAATTATGGGAAGATGTTATTAACTGTTACAACATGTTGGAATTAAAACATAAAGTATGTTTTTGAACTTACATTATACATTGACACACTATCTCAACAAATACTTTTTAAATTTTTATCAACTAATTCTAGGCTGCAGAGATCATCCGTCAAGAAATATCTAAGAAACCTACAGTGCATTTATGGTGTTTACTAGGTGATGCAACTCAAGATAGCAATCATTATGAAACAGCATGGAAATTATCAAATGAAAGGAGTAGTCGTGCTCAAAGACATTGGGGAATGTTTTATTTTGCAAAAAGAGATGTTTGTACATATATAATCACTGAAAAATATAATTTAAATATATGGCATTATAGAATCACTAAACACCAAATATGATTTTTATCTTTTAGTACACGAAAGCTATACCACATCTAAAATTATCAGTTGAATTAAATAATATTCAAGAAAACGTTTGGATAAGACTCGGATATGCAGCTTTGCAAATAGAAGATTGGAAATTGGCAGCGACTGCATATAGGCGTTACTGTGCTTTGGAACAGTCGGTTTGTATCGTTTTGCAATATTTATGAACTACAATGTATATTAAATACGTTATGTTTACATACTGTATATACAAATTATAGACATTTGAAGCCTGGAACAATTTAGCAAAAGCTTATATAAAATTGGGCGATAAAGAAAGAGCATGGAAGTCTCTACATGATGCTGTAAAATGCAGTTATAACCATTGGCAAGTTTGGGACAATTTAATGGTCGTTAGCATAGACTTAGGACACTTCTCAGAAGTATGTACATAGCACATATAATAATATGATAATAACTTTTACTGCTTTTGAGGTATAAATATTCCTATGCTAATTTTTTATTTTTACAGGTAATACGTTGTTACCATCGTATTTTGGATCTCAAAAAAGATCATTTAGACTTTCAAGTCCTCGATATATTAACTCGCGCTATATTAAACAATGTGAACGATTCCGATGGGAATCCTGCACAAAGATTACTTTCAAAAGCTTTAGAGTTATTTGGACGAATTAGTTCCCTTATACTCAATAATTCCGATGTTTGGAGAATGTATGGACAGCTTACAGCACTTAAGAAAACAGATATTGATCAAGAAAAAGCAGCACAATATTTGCAACAAGCTCATCGTGCTGCTATTTCAGACACAAAATGGTTTCAGCAAGAAGAATCGATTGAAAATGTACTTCAATTATGCTGTCTATTAACTGAAATGTATTTAGAATGTGCTGTCAACTGTGATCTTAAGAAAAAGCGAACATTATTAGCAAGTGCAAAACTATCCCTTCAAGGAGTCATTAGAAAAGTTAAAGATCAGGAATTGGATAATGACCAAATTTTGTCACTTTTACGAAAGGTTGAAGAACATTTGAGTACAGTAGTAAATGCTTTAGAACAAACTAAATTAACAATGTAGACGATGTAATTATTTTTCGTATATTTAATGGCTGTACATACATTTTTTACGAAAATAATTTGCATCAGTTGTTAAATGTAACATTTTATACATCCACGATTCTCGCATTCATAAAATGAATTGGATATGTCTATTCCCTCAATTTGATTGTTAAAATATTGCAAAAATAATTGAAGATAAAGGAATAGTGCAAAAATAATAACAAAGGCAAGGAGACTGTTTCATTTATTTCAAACAAATTAAAATTACTTGCAAGTGCTTGATTTATCAACAATTTTTAATATGCAAAGTGTAGTAGTAATAGTATAACCTAAAGAAATGTTATTTTTTACTCTGCTACGTTATATAACATAATTTTTCATTTGCAATGTTGTTTTCAATACAATTGAATGTAAACATTCGTTAATAGATACAGTACTTGCGCTAGTAGAACATAATGTTCTCTCTTTCTCCAATTCTACAGTTTAAACGAACCGCCACACGGCTGGTCACTGTGCTGCTATCTGCCATCTATTATAAAAAGGATTGTTCCTCACGAATATGTTACTACATTTGTCGTGGTGGAACGCTATTTCTGAGCTATTTTTCCATTTTCGCAAAAATGGAAGTGGTGCGGCAAAAACGTGCCGCAATTAAAGGTCAAATAATCGGCCTTTATAAAGCCGGGTTTCCTAGCACGAACATTGCGACTATAATGAAGTGCAGTGAAAGGACGGTCAGAAAATACATAAAAAGTTATCGTGAAAAAGGGGAAGAGGGTCTCGTAGATAGACGGCTTTATAATGCAGGACGAGCGCGTAAAACTACTACACAAGAAGATCATGCTATAATCAGGGAAATGAATCAAAATCCTTCTCAAAGTGCGTCTAGCGTTGCGGCAAATCTTGATTTACAAGTGTGTCCAAGCACCGTGCGTAGTCGATTACGGGAAGCTGGATATCCTTTTGGTCGACTTCCACGTAAAATACGTATGCAGGTAGGTTCAAGAAAACTTATTTCTACCACTACAAACACATGAAAGTCACTTAGGCATGTTCTGATCTCTGATTGGGTAAATATGATCAACGGCGTGTCTAGATACTTTCATGCGTCTGTGGTAGTTGAACGAAGTTTTTTTGAATTGATTGTATAAGGTGGCTTGAAAATTATTGTAAATACTTGAAAGGGTTTATTCCTGAAGTGATTTGAAGTAACTTTTCCCTTAATGAAAAACTGGACCAATCAGAAAACGGGTACGGTCTATGAATTCTAATGCAATGGTGCGCTACACTTAACGTAGCGTAAGCCTCAAGCGCAGCTTCGGATTTTGTTCGAATACCGAAATATTTTGATGTAATGAGACAACAGTCTCACATATACTAAGTTGTACAAGCCTCGAGGTCAGTTTAAAGCCAGCACTACATTAAACGTTGCCTGTCATGAGGGCAGAATTTGTAGACCGTACTGACTCACCTAGAGGGTTGTGTTTTTCGTTAATAACTCGTCAATAAAGATGCAACCAACATTTTTATAAGAGAAAAGTTATTTTAAATCACCCTTTTCAAGAGTACACCTTTTTTGGGACACCCTATATATTGTCGACAATGATTACCGACTGAGCAACGTCATGTTACCGCTTCAATCCGCAAGGCCAAAGGCCAAATGTTTTTCACACAAACACGTTTTATGCTTTTGTGTGATTTCTGAGCAATCGAAAAAATTTTTATTTTCACAATCATTGTACATATATTGTATATTGACACGTTGATAAACTTAGATAATATAATCTTTATTTTTTGAATTTTGTTTCTTATTTATCGTTTGTTTTATAAGGTAAGACTCGTAAAATATAAGATTTATTCTTTCTTTTCATTCGTCTTTATACATTTACTGTCCTACCTCGTCCGATTGCTTATCTAAACTGTCATTTTTGGATAACCCAAACAACCAATAAAATCCTTCGCTTTTTAATCTCAATCGTATAGATTAAACGATCAGTTGCAAAGAATTCAAGAAGTTAAAAAGACGTGTTGTCTCTAAATATTATAGAGTAATAATACACGGTTGGTACACTATATCGCAATAACTAATGTAACATTGAAAATAAGTTTAATTTGATATTACAAAATAGAGTTTACCATTTAACTTCGTTTGTTTTAAATAGACATACTAATTTTATAACTGTATTTTTCTTTTTGTATTAAAATTGGATATATTAGCACTTCCATTTTGTAAAACTGTATTAATGGTTGATATTTCTAAAAGTTAGTATATTTTTTTAGATGGCTTTTTCTGGAAAGGTTGTATTAATAACAGGAGCTAGCTCTGGTATTGGAGCAGCAACAGCTATACATTTTGCCCAACTTGGTGCATCTCTATTGTTAACGGGTCGTAATGTAGAAAATTTAAATGCGGTTGCTGAGAAATGTAAACCTAATAAGCCACTTATTTTAACTGGAGAAGTAACTAATGAAAGCGACGTGAAAAACATCGTAGAAACCACTATTAAGCATTATGGTAAATTAGATGTTCTGGTTAATAATGCTGGTATATTAGAAAGTGGCAGCATAGAAAATACATCACTGGAGCAATATGATAGGTACAAATCTAATATTTTTATACATTACATTATATATATATATATAATATATGTATATATATACAATACATTACAATATTACAGATTATTTAATATAAATGTACGAGCAATATATAATTTAACAATGTTAGCTGTTCCTCATATAGTAAAATCTAAGGGTAATATTGTAAATGTTTCGAGTGTTTGTGGATTAAGGTCATTTCCAGGTGTCTTATCATACTGCATGACAAAAGCAGCAATCGATCAATTTACGAAATGTGTTGCTCTTGAGCTTGCAGAGAAACAAGTATGTGTTATCTATAAATACATATATTCAATTATTATAGTAGCTTTTATGCAAATATGTTTATGTTAATTTGCAGGTTCGAGTAAATGCTGTAAATCCTGGTGTTATACTAACAAATCTTCATAAAAGAAGTGGAATGAAGGAAGAACAATTTCAAGAATTTATAGAAAAAAGTAAAGACACTCATGCACTTGGTAGAGCAGGAGATCCTATGGAAGTTGCAAAAACAATAGCATTCCTGGCAAGTGACGATGCCAGTTTTATCACAGGTGCAACAATGCCTGTAGATGGTGGCAGACATGCCATGTGTCCTCGCTAATTAGCATTCCTATAAGGTTTATTTCATATACATTTATTCCAATATTAATACATTTATAAAGTTTCTAAAATGCTATATTTTTACTAAAAGAGATTGTTATACATAGAAAGGATAATGTGTGTGTGTCAATAAATCTATTAGTTATGAATGCAGTTCTTTTTTTACTTATTTAATTCGCATAGTGTACTACATGTAACATGGTAAAAAAAAAGTCATAATTACAACTATTAAGAGATCAAAAGTCTTCACATATTCATAACATACATAATTCAGTATCATCTCGTGAGAGAAAAAGAGATAAAACGAAAATCGCGCGAGGCAGTCGGCAAACTTAAAAGCAGAGATTGGAAAGGTTTCGAAAATAACTGTTCCAAACTGTTATATATGGGTTCTAACTAAAACAATTATGGAGAACCGAAATCGATATATAAGAGTTATGAGAACATTACGGTTCTTCATAACTGTTTTAAGAACTGAAACCAATATCACAATTGTTTTCAACCTCTGCTTGAAAGCCAGCGGTCAGCATATCGGTGTACATTAATAAAAATACACAATAATGTTCGAAACAATACAACATCGTACAAGGAAATTATTTCTGATCTTCTCTTGGATCTTCTTCTTGATTATTTTGTTTATTTTTGTTGCAAAGATGATGTGATTGCCATTTTAAACCTAAATGAGTACATAAATTACAACATTGTATAAATAACTTACTTGAAGCACGTTTTTTTGGAAATATCCTCTCGCTTGCTTCCATGCATAAAAACAAACAAATCATTAAATAAGATTTGATATTAAATATTAAAATGAAATAATATAATTGTAAATAGATTTACTTTAGTAACCCATCTAAAAATACTAAAGATATGTGCTTTGTATTTAGAGAATAATAAACAGTCATGCCTACTTCAATGTTACATTTGCGAATGTGCTCTGGACTGTTGAACCTGACACAATAATAGGGGTCTATTTGTCCAAAAACATCATATATTTTACCCAATGTCCTTTTTCCTTCTTCAACAAATAAAATTGTTCTTAAATTTAGAATAGGTTTATCTGGCTTTGGTTGAATAATTACTAATTGCTGAACAAACCATGCAACTTAAAATTTTACACTTACACTAAATTATTGTACACATTAAAATGTAAATTTAATGGCTCACATGATACTTTCGACATATTAATCTTTAAATCTTTGATAGGTCGTAAAACATCTAAGTCACACATTTTGTATGTTATAATTTATGTGCTGATACTTTTTTTTAGTACCCTGCTTTTGTCTAAAAATATAAAAGTTAATAATAATTTCAAACTTAATACATACAAAATTTTAAAAATCAATGGAATCCTTATTTGTATCATCATTATCAGAGTCAACTGATTCAATTAACACTTCATTTAACACAATTACTAGAATCATCTTCATTATCACTTGACATTACTATTAATTCTATAATTTCATTTGCACCTCTTTCAAAACAGTAGGTTGGTCATTGTTTTGTTTATGAAAATTTGAAGAACTTTCTGTTTCTGAATCTGAAGTTAGTTTATTCGACACTGCTGTATAAAATAAAAAAAAAATGATTAAATTAAAAATTATATTTTTATAAAATTAAAGAAAATTACATTAACAACAGGAAGAAATAACATGTTTAATCGAATAAAAAGCATATTTATTCCAAAAGAGAAAAATCTGACAATAACAACCTATATCACAAATATGTAAAATTATCAGTACCGCACTAACCTCATATTAGGGAACAAATTATCAATCACGTGCTGTAGTGGAGAACTGTTTACACAGGAACACAATTTAGTGCATACAAATCATATATTTTGCAGGTAAAGTCACTTTAATACTCGAGTTGTATATTATCAATGTTTTATCTCCTTGAAATACTATATAAAATGAAGTAATCTTACTGTAAACTGTAACTTCACTTACGACGTCAACAGTGTGAGCAGACGCGACGCAACACTATGTATACTGAAAGTTTACCGCTTTATTTAACCGGTTTAGTGGTAAAAGGTTTTGGCAGAGGATCTAAAGCTTTAGGCATTCCAACAGGTAAGTTTTTAAATTTAAATTATATGAAATACATTATAAAATACATTAATTACTGAAAAAAGACTTAAAAATTGATTTGACATTCTAAACGACATATTTATGCAATCGTGCTACGTATACACTGCTAATGCTGGCAGAAAGATATAAAAACAGTACTAGTGTTAAATCTCTGGTAAACAAGCAAAAAATTACAAGATGGAATTATTATAAAAAAAAGATATTTGAAAACAATTGATAAGATATGTTTTGACCTATTACAGTTGTAAAATATATGTCATATTCCATTTTGAAACATTTCTTTTATTTCAAAATGATGATTTATATTATTTTTGGGAAAATTCGATGTACATATTTTATTTTGCTTGCCCATCATGGAAATATTATCTATAGTAGCATATAACAATTTGATGAAGAATTATGTAATAATGTCTTACGTAGCGAATCTGGAAGAGAAGGTTGTTGAAGCTTTACCTNTAAAATTAAAGAAAATTACATTAACAACAGGAAGAAATAACATGTTTAATCGAATAAAAAGCATATTTATTCCAAAAGAGAAAAATCTGACAATAACAACCTATATCACAAATATGTAAAATTATCAGTACCGCACTAACCTCATATTAGGGAACAAATTATCAATCACGTGCTGTAGTGGAGAACTGTTTACACAGGAACACAATTTAGTGCATACAAATCATATATTTTGCAGGTAAAGTCACTTTAATACTCGAGTTGTATATTATCAATGTTTTATCTCCTTGAAATACTATATAAAATGAAGTAATCTTACTGTAAACTGTAACTTCACTTACGACGTCAACAGTGTGAGCAGACGCGACGCAACACTATGTATACTGAAAGTTTACCGCTTTATTTAACCGGTTTAGTGGTAAAAGGTTTTGGCAGAGGATCTAAAGCTTTAGGCATTCCAACAGGTAAGTTTTTAAATTTAAATTATATGAAATACATTATAAAATACATTAATTACTGAAAAAAGACTTAAAAATTGATTTGACATTCTAAACGACATATTTATGCAATCGTGCTACGTATACACTGCTAATGCTGGCAGAAAGATATAAAAACAGTACTAGTGTTAAATCTCTGGTAAACAAGCAAAAAATTACAAGATGGAATTATTATAAAAAAAAGATATTTGAAAACAATTGATAAGATATGTTTTGACCTATTACAGTTGTAAAATATATGTCATATTCCATTTTGAAACATTTCTTTTATTTCAAAATGATGATTTATATTATTTTTGGGAAAATTCGATGTACATATTTTATTTTGCTTGCCCATCATGGAAATATTATCTATAGTAGCATATAACAATTTGATGAAGAATTATGTAATAATGTCTTACGTAGCGAATCTGGAAGAGAAGGTTGTTGAAGCTTTACCTAGTAATTTCAATACTGGAGTTTATTACGGATGGGCTTCACTAGACGGAAAAATTTACAAAATGGTTGCAAGTATTGGTTGGAATCCATTTTACAAAAATGAAAAGAAGACAGTGGTAAGAATATTAAAAAATGTAATAAACGAATTACCATTTAATATTATATCATTTTTATATTATACAGATTATTTTTATAGGAAGTTCATATGCTGCATAAATTTGAGAACGATTTATACGGGCAACAAATTAAAGTCATTTTCGTGGGCTACATACGACCGGAACAAGATTTTTCTTCCATAGGTTAAAATTGTTTATATTTTATGATTTCGTAAATATTATTTTTAAGATTTTTTATTTTTGATAAGGTATATTTTTATTGTTTCAGAAGAATTAATTACAGCAATAAATAATGACATCAGTGTGGCTGAAAAACAATTAGAACAGCCACCATTAAATATATATAAAAATGATAAATTCTTGAAGGAATAATGCAAAAATATATTTGCAATATTCTATTAATACAAATTGTTGTAAACTAAATTTATAGTTTTTAATGTTTGAACGTGATATTATTGATTAGGGATATGTAGTCAATTCTTGTAATATAAGAATCTTTAATTAATTATTTAATATACTTAATATGATATATTGATTTTGACATATAGGTATAATTTTTTATAATTGTACTTATAATACAGTATTTGTACACTTAAAATTATATCACGAAATAGTTTAGGAATACAAGTTTGCAATTTTAGAAGTCTTCAATTTGTTCCTGGTGATGAAGGGGATGATGATGGCGGGGGTGGGGGTGGTGGGGGTGGTGGTGGTGGTGGAGGTAAAGATATCCATGGTGTATTCATTCTTGCCGGCATTTGAGGTCCCCATGTTACACTGGCATCTCGAAATCTTGAAAATCGATTTTGATAGAACAAGAGTTCTGAATGAGCTCTTGGTGACACATTGTAAGGAATTCTAGGATTTAAAGATGTCATTGTTCCATTTTCGCTATAATATTCATGTAGATCATAGAAGTTTTGATTCGTATTATCTGTAGTAAAATTTCCATATTGTAGCCCAGGTGGATACATTCCATATCCACATGATTCAGCACTATCTGAATGAAAATCACCTGGCATATTTGACCAATTATTTAGATATGGATGTATCCACGGATTCTGTAATTGATTTCTAGCCTGGATGGAATGAAATCCTCTTGAATAATGTCCTCTTCGATTCTTTTGTTTATTTCTGTTCCAAGGATGATTCGATTGCCATCCAGAGTTTGGACCTAAAAGTGAAATAAAAAATTACTTGCACTGATAATGAGTACATAAATAACAACATTGTAAAAAAAACTTACTTGAAGGACGTTTTCTTTTGACTGATACATTCCCGTCATCCGTTTCAGGACACTGTTTTGCTTGTTTTAATTTTGCGTAATAAGCCTGCTCTTCCTCATCATCAGAAAATTCCGGGGGATCATCTGCATTTGCATCTACGCCTTTAATTCTGAAAAAGTACAAATCATTAAATAAGATTTTATATTAAATAATAAAATGAAGAGTAATATAATCGTAAATAGACTTACTTTAGTAACTCATGCAAAAATACTAAAGATGTGTACTCTGTATTTGGACAATAATAAACAGTCATGCCTACTGTAATGTCACATTCGTAAATGTGCTCTAAACTGTTGAACCTGATACAGTAATAGGGTTCTTTTACTTGTCCAAAAACATCAAATATTTTACCTAAAGCCCTCTTTCCTTTTTCAAGAAATAAAATTGTATCTAAATTTAAAGTAGGTTTATCTGGCTTTGGCTGAACAATTACTAATTGCTCAACAATCCATGCAACCTAAAATTTTGCACTTATACTATATTACTGTATACATTATTAAAATGTACATTTAAAATTAATCAATACCTCTCCTAATGGATCACATAATACTTCAGGCACACTAATTTTTAAATCTTCAATAGGTGGTAAATCATCTAATTCACTTTTTATGTCATTATTTCTTTGTTCTTTTGTTTTTCTGATTCCCGTATTTCGTCTGAAAACAGAAAAGTTAATAATAATTTCAAACTTAATACATATAAAATTAGAAAAATTCAATGGCTTACTTATTTGTATCATTATTATCTGAGTCATCTGATTCACTTAATACTGAAGAATCACTAATACTAGTAGAATCATCCTCACTATCACTTTCCTCGCTTGATGACTTATTATTATGAATCCTATAAGGTTGCATTTGCACCTCTTTCAGAACAGTAGCTTGGTTATTGTTTTGTGTATGAAAACTTGAGGAACTTTCTGTTTCTGAATCTGAATTTGCATACTCTAACGCTATGGTTGTAAGAGAAGATAGACTATATCCTGTTGAAAAGATAATAAACTTTAGCATTTTTTAGATTAAATACTACTCTCAGAGATATAATATTTATAATAAAAAGTTTTATACCCTTGTTTTCTTGATTTGCAATAGAGATATCATTGCTTTCTTCATATATAATAGAAACATCATCTGCTTGTTTCGAACTTTTAGCTATCAAATCAATTGTTAGTTGTTTATTATTGTCACCATTAACAGGTGTTTCGTTATGATTTACATTTGTGTCGTTAAACAAAGTTAGTTGATCAATCGTATCATTTGTAGGATTACAACTTTGTACATTTGCAGTATTATTCTCGATTGTGGCTTTATCACAGTTATTTGAAACTTGATTCATTTCAAAATTATTATTTTTTGCATCTTCACATTCTTCAATATTTGATATTTGTTCGTTAGATTCGTTGCACGAAAAACTTTCTGCAATTTTTTCTATTATAACCTTGTCTGTTTCCATAGTAATCCGTATATTATTTTCTTCAATTAAAATATTTAATATTAATAGTTTTTGTAGATAATTTTCAATTTAAAACAAATAATAAGTGTTGAAAAAATGCTTTTCTTATATGTGTGTAATTCTAAAATAAACAGATAAACAATTTTCAACGCTACCACGTGCACTACATACCGGATTTTAATCACCATCAGCGATCAATACCTGCACATATACAGGAAAAGATGCTACGCAAGAAGTGGGGTGGCGACGCATGCGTAGGGAGTCCCATACAGCGGCGCGGCACGTTTTCCGGGTGAACATTACATGTACATATGTATGTAATTCCGAATTCTGAACTACGATCGCGATGCGACGTAAGGCCTCTATCTGATCGTAGTTCAGAGTTTCAGAGTTTAGAATTACAATAATGAGAACTACGTACAGTAAATTCTCCCTAATCGACCTTCAGCATAAAACCAAAAATGAACGATTTGGAAAGAGTATAGTTGTTGACAATCGGTAACTATAAAAACGAGTTGCAAGGCTCGAATAATCGTACCTTCTCTTCCCAAATTGTTCATTTTTGTTTCAAAGCTGAGGGTCAATTAGGGAGAACGTACTGTATTTCTGCACGCTTCTCTTACTCCCTTAGTTGGCGCGCACATTCCCACCATTTTACTGCACATCTAATCCACAGTGGATTCTGTCACAGCAATGAATCGTCAACCAATCAAAGCAAATAAAGTTTCTATGTCGACTCTCGTTGATGGATCAAGCTGCGATTTTGAGATGTACAGGAGTAGGATGTATTACTGTATAACGTTCGCGCGGTAGACACGCCACGCCGCTGTGCGGAACACCCTGCGCATAGTGTGATGCATATGTACATACATACAGGTAAGTAGTATACATGCATATGCTACTGTACATATTTACATATGTATGTATGTATTCCCCTAAGTTCTGCTTTTAAATATTTTCTTCGATCAGTTATGTTTAAATTTTAGGGTGGTTATTGAAAGTTAGTAAGGTCTTAAATCGTATGAAAATGATTAAAATAGCGACTCGTTATGTACCAAAAACAAATTGGTATTTATTTAATTACTCAGTTAAAAATTCTATCTTTCCATACTAATATAATGATGTATAATCACTTCACTTGAGTGATGTTACCTAATTCAATACTCAACACTAAAGTGAAACATTTTAAAAACGGTTTTATTCTTTTGTTACTACATTCACAATTGTTTGTATAATTTTTCTTCCATTTTGATGATTTAAAAGATTTAAAAGTGGATCCTTCATCTTTTCTTCCAACAACTTCACCAATTCTTTCCTTATTCGTTGTAAAAGTTGACCAACCTAAACAATATTTGTATAAATGTGTAAATATAAAACAAATAAACAGTATCTGTAGAAATATTTTGTAATATTTTCAAAGTATTAACAATCTTACCCTGTGAGATTCGACACTGAATAAGATCCAACCATCTTCTAACGATATAATAGACACTCCATTATGTACTTCTATGTTCATCATCGAATCATTGCCGGAAAACAAAACTAACAGTAAGATTGGCATCATTGTGATTTCTTTAATAAATACTTTGCTCGTTTTCATTTTTTCCTGAAATACTAAGTACGGACTAGGGAAGTAACCGACGTGGAAGTTAACAGATGATGGATGAATACTGACGAAACCATCGCTTTTTGTTTGAAATTTAAGTTCCTGTGATTTAGGTTGTACCGGAACTGCTCCAGCAGATTGTATTTCAAAAGATTTTTCTGGTGTGAAAACTTTCACAACATTAGGATAAAGAGCAGCGCAAAGTAAACCTTGGAGAAGCTTGTAATTATCGCTATTGATGTTTAGTTCACACCCAGTTATTTCTAAAACTTTGTCAACATTTGGTTGTCGTTTAGGTAAATTAATAGGAACAAAACCAATTGAGACTAATAACTCCAGAAATTGATACTTTATATCCGCTAAAGTGTACAACGTGCGTGTGGATAAATAGTTTTCATTAGCGAAAACTTGTCCTGCATAATTACTGTGTGTACATGCTTCCAACCATTTCTATAACAAAATTGGAAGAATGCATGTAAATCTGTTTTATATGAATATGCACTATTATCAAATATTTACCTTATACGCTTTAAGAACAGTTAAGTGATCAGAATTGGCTATACAAAATTCTTTTTTGGCATCTATTTCGTGTCTTTTTTCAAATGGTATATTAAATGGAGTTTTATGAGACAAACATGCAGCAATGGTAAGTGCGGAATCGAGACAACAGAAAACTGCTCCAAATACTATTAGTTTTCCAATTCGTACATCTACAGGCAGTGCAGCAAGGTGGTGACCCAACGGAGTTAATGTACATTCAGAATTAAATGCTCCAACATCTTGTAAACGTTTAATAGCGCTATGAATACTTGGAACTGTCGGCGGTTCCATTAATTTGCCTAAAAACATATTTTATATTTTGCAGTTTTACATGATAAAAACACAGAACAAATAAAAGTAGCAAGTGTAATTACTTAAAATTTGACATGAATCTACTTTCACTCCTTTATATAGCAGCTGAATACGTAAAAGCAAGGGTTCTAAAGGAATTCTTAATATTTCGGGCACTGGTTGTGCTAAAAAATGATATTTAAATCTGGAAAAAATAAAATATATCAAGTTTTCGCGATTACAAACTGTATAAGACATTAATTAATATCAAACAACTACACATACCTATGTAAAGTGTATAAATGAATGCATACTCCAGGCATTACACGTCCAGCACGACCTTTTCTCTGCAATGCATTTGCTTGTGACACCCAACATGTTTCTAAACTTTCCATATTCTGATTAGCATTGAATCTAGTTTCTTTCATTTTTCCACTGTCGATTACAAAAACACAATCATCTATTGTGATAGAAGTTTCAGCTAAGTTTGTACTTAGTACGATTTTCCTGGCATCTCCAACATTTTTAAACACTAAATTTTGTTCTTCATTGGATAAACTTGAATGTAACGGTACAATAACAACCTTTCCAGTTTTTGGTGAAAGATTTTTATTGTCATTCAACTGATTTTTCAAGGAAATAATTTCAGCAAATCCTGGTAAAAAAACCTAAAATATAAATGTCAAATACAATATACAGTTTGACTGCTTTTTAAAGAATACTAGAATATGCTTACTAAGATAGAACCTGTTTTAGGATAATCATGTAATCCAAAAATAATCCATTCTAATATTGCCTCTATAAGCTCAAAATTAATTTTGTTGTGATCCATAACATACAAGTTTTTATGTGTTCGTCTGCTATAATCGTGATATCTACTAACAATTTGCATTAACGTTAAATTCTCGTCTTGAATTGAGTCTCTAACCTCAGCAGTGGAAATGCCTTCAACTTCAGCAGTTTCCAGATCTATTTGTAACTGTTCCCAGTCACCTTTAATTCTACGTGTATATTTCGAATTTTCTTCAAGCACGTAACTAGTCCATTCAAATATATCTTCCAAGAAGAGTTGCTCCACAGGAAATGTTTTTCCTGGAATATTCAAAATAGGAGCTTCTCGAAAGTATGAAGAAAAAGCTTCTGATTTAAGCGTTGCACTCATAAGTATTATTTTCAGATTTGGTTTTTTTTGCAACAATTCCTTTAGGAGCATCAATAGGAAGTCGCTAGATGAAAAATTGTAATGTTTAAGTAAACAGGAATGAGTTAGCAGAATAAGTAACTGACCTTTCTGCACTTCTTTCATGAACTTCATCGACAATGACATGTGTTACATCATTTAACTCAGGATTCATGGATAATCTTTGTAACAAAATTCCAGTTGTACAAAATGTTAACCGGGTTTTGTTAGACATTTTGCTCTCCAATCTTATTTGGTATCCTACTGTGTCACCTATTCGTTCATCTCTTTCTGATGCGACTCTTTTCGCTACTCCTACTGCACTTATTCGTCGTGGTTGTGTACATATTATATTGACATGTTCTTTTAATGTAGGTCTATTTAAAATCCAATCATCTAACAAAAATTGTGGCACCTAAAATGTAAGTAATGTACTACAATATTTTCAAGTTCAAATTAAAACGCCGCATAAATAATTTTAGTTACTTGTGTACTTTTACCGCATCCTGTTTCGCCTGAGATTATGGTAACTTGATGTTCATGTATCATTTCTAAAATATTATCCATTTTCGACCATGCTGGCAGTTTTCTCCTAATTTCTTTCATTTTTTTATATTTGGGACTATTTTGTTTTTCCATGAAATTTTCATGTATTGAATCATCTATTGTTAATATTTCTTCTGATGTAATATTGTTTCTATTCCTTCTATTAATAGAGCCTAATTCATGATGTGTAGCAAGATCTTCTTCTCCATCACTTTCTGATGATTTAGGGAAAAGTGTGTCATTCTGATCTAGCAATTGTTCTTTATTTTCTTTTAAATACGTTTTCATTTCATTTTCATTTTCCAAAAGAGATATTATAGAAAAAATATATGGAATGCCATCCATGGCTAATGACAATGCTTCATTATATAATCTTCTTCCTATTCTTAAACAATGTATACTCGAAAATGTACCATCATTTTTATAAAAGTAGAAAAATGGTGGTTCGTATGGATATTTACAACCTAATGAAATATAAAAATACAATGGCTTTTAATAGCGGAAAATTAATAAAAATTTTACATGTCAGTCACATGATTTATTTGATTTCATGTAATACCTTCAGGAAATCTTATTTCTAATGTAAATTGTGGATCCTCTCTCTCAGGCATTTTTAATACCTGTGGTTGTTGATGCAAAAATCTGCACTTTTTCCCAAATCTACATTTTTTTTGAATAAATAATTTTCAAACTTCTT